AAGGGGCGGGGCGTGCGCAGGGAGGCCCCTCCCACGCCGGTAGGGCGGCCCCCACGGCCCCAGCGCGGGTGGGCGTCCTTCGCGGCCTCCGGCGGCGATCCTCCTCTGCTGCGTGCCCCGGGGTGGCAGGTGCCTGGACCGCCACTAGGGCTGCTAGGCAAGGGAGGTTTCGCCGCCCTGGCCCCACGCGTGAGCTCTTCAGAGCTCAGGAACCCTCCCGTGGGCGCCAGGGAAGGGCTCTGGGGACGAGCTTCGGGGACCGGGTATTGATCTTGCCCAATTTGGGTGTCGGGGCCACCCCTTGCCGCCCCCAGCATTTTGATGGGCACGCGGAGGGCTCGGCACCTTGGGCGCGCGCGGCCCAGCCTGTGGCGCCCAAAGAGCTGTCCATGGTCCAGAGAACAGCGCTGGGTTCTTAGCTCAGTGCTGGGCAGATAGCAGGAAGAAAAAGAAAACTGACGCCAGCTTTGGAATGAGTCTGTTCGCTGTTTCTGCTTGGGGGTTCAGGAGTTCTCGAGTAAAGGATTCAGAGTCCCCCAAGCAGATCTCCAGACTCAGGCAAAAACATGGCTGTCTTGAGGCCGAGAGGCATCTATCGCTAACATGAATTCCAAGCTGGTATTTAATAACTAAAGGCTTTTACATCTCATTTTTCAATACGTTATACTTACCTGATTAACATCACTGGGTCCCAAAGACTTCTCAGTCTTTCCCCACTTAATAGATCTAAATATGGGAGTGAAGTCAAAGCTTAGGGGGGCCAAAAGGAATTGAAAACCTGAAGCCAGCAGTTGGGAAACTATTTCTACTTGCGTTTGCTTTTCATCTCCCCCCTCATTTTTATTTTAACAGCAAAAGCAAAATTTATATTTGGTAGATTGCAAAAAATCATTTCCCCCTCCAGCGCCTTGTCATGTGACTTAACATTTCTTCATCTTCTTCATTTTAGAGAAGCTGGACCCACCCTTGTTTCAGAATACTGAAGAAACCCTCAATTAAAAAAAAAAAGGGACACTTCTTTTTGAGCAGATGTGCAGACACTTAAATGTAATTCTGAGAACTGGAGGGAATTTATTTGGTATTATGTACATAGAAAAAATTGATTTTGTTCTTTGTAGCAGCATCTCAGACATCAGCCTCAAAATTAAATTTATATTAAAGTAATCTAGTCTGGGGTTGTTTTTCTCTCCAGGAGAATCCATTGCAATTGGAGACTGCACTAGACAAAACTAAATGGAAGTGGGTAAAAATGAAATTTCTCTTATTTGCCTTTTCAGGTAGAATGCCTCTGTAGCCCAGGCAGAAGACTGAAACAGAAAAAACAATTGTATTTTCAATTTGCTCACACGAAAAACTAAGATCCCTCCTACTTCCTCTGTCTGTGCTACACTAGGAGCCCTGCCTTGCTAAGTATGCGTTCTCGGTCCTTTTAGAAGTCATTCGGCCTATTGCTGGCTCCTTTAGATTTTCCAAATCTTTTCAGAATAGATAATTTCCATGAAATAGGCATGCACACGGATTTGAAAGCATAAGGGCAACCTTATTAGTAACTTTTAAAAACTATTTTCTTATCCCTCTTCATATTTTTATTTCTATGTTGTTATACCCCTTAAAAACAGCTGGGTAGGCTGACTTAAAATACAGATGAAGTTGTACATACAAACTTTAGTGCGGTCCTAAGGTCTACAAAGACAGGCAGACACCTTCTTGACTCTTGAAAATTAGCAATGAGAACAAAACCACACCACTGCCCAAAGATATCCAAATCCCAATCCTGGAAAACCTATGAATGCTTATGAGGAAAACAAGGCTTTATTAAAGATATGATTAAGGGGTTTGAGATTATTTTGTATTATCATGGTAGGCTCTAAATGCAATAAGTATCTTTATGTGTTAGCAGAGAACACTCCCTCCTAGTCAACCCCCAGCCCCTACCCAACACACAGAGAAATATGAGGACTGGAATAATGTGGCCACAAGTTAAGGAATGTCAACAACCATGGCGGTTGGAAGAAGACAGAAGATTCTTCCCTAGAAACTGGAGGAGGCACGACCCTACCAACACCTAGATTGCAAACTTCTCTACAATTGTGAGAATGATTCGTTGTTGCTTCAAACACCCAGGTTATTGTGACATTACAGTCACCACAGAAACTTGAATATCAAGCTTATGTGACCTTCCACCAGAAGAGAAACCAACAAAATAGGTCCGGGCAGGTGTTCCAAGCTATCAGCTCCAATAGCTTCAAAAAACTGAAGACAGTCAATCACCCTGATTTCCAGGTGTTGATTTTTCACCAAAGTATTTCTCCTAAGGGCAATTCTCTGCATCACATTGAAACAATCACTATTTTTTTCTATAGATCAAAAATACTCATAGTGATAGATGTAGAGAAGTCTAATAGTATATCCCCAGTAAACTAGTGAAGATTTAATAACTTAGAAATGACTAACGGGCCCTCCCTGGTGGCGCAAAGGGTTAGGACGCAGCACTGCAAGCTACCTGCAGCTGCTATTGTGAGTTCAATACCCTGCCCCAGAGTTGACATACATGGCACAACAGACCTCTCCTGAACCGCCCGCTGCTCCTCTCAGGAGTGTACTTCATCGATCTTCATGTTCTGCTCTCCATTCTGTCTCTAGTGAAGCTTCCCACCATCCCTGCTCCTCTGTCCTGTACCCTAGTTCTGTATGTATAAATAAATCTAAAAAAAGACGATTATCCAAAAAAAAAAAAAAGAAAAACTATACTAATTTTTTAAAACTCCCAAGTCTTCAGAGGTTTTACTTTGTAAATTTGTAGCCCTACTTTTTCTAATAATCTGGGTTTTATAAAGAAAAAAAAATGTAGAATTATTTGGCAAGTCTGATCCAGTCTTTAACAACTTATGTTACATAAGAACTTGTAACGTTAAGAGGATGTGCACACCTACTAGTGTATAGAAAGGAATATTTACTCTGTTAAAAGAGAAAGCAGTGGCCTTGAAAGGTAATGCCAAGAGTAGGGAGCAAATCACATCAACTATTTGCTTTAAATGAAGTCACAATAATCAGAAATCCTCTAAGTTGAAAATATACTAAGCTGGAAAGGAGGCCAGACCATGCCTTACTGCAGGATGTTCACTCTCCCAGCTGGTCTTGGTCCCAAAGCAGCAGGTGTCTCTGAACTCTCAAGGTCTAAGGTGACACATAAACAGCAAGCTTTCATAGTCTAAGTATGCAAAGTTGGCTGTGGTGGTTTCTAAAGGGTTTCCCAAGCCTCATATCAAAAATGTTTTCAATTAAGTGTAATAGATAAGGTGTGTTTTCCTAAATAACTGGAGAACTCTGTACTATTGGTACACATTCTTGGTATGTGTAGTGGCATTGCCATTTACTGGGTGATTCTAGCTTCTACAGTTGGGAGCTGGAGAAAAGGCAGGTCTAATTACTGGGGCCTGGAGGTCCAGAAACAGACCGTGGGCACTCAGTCAATGTGGCACATCAACACCAATATTTTATACCAATACTGAGCTGGTCTGCCTTTGCCAGGCAGGTAGAAGCCACTCTCTGGAGCTGTGAACTCAATATCCTTAGACAGGTTTAGTTCTGGGGGGAAATCTCTAACACATCAAACGATAGCAGCTTCCATTGAAGTCCAAGACCCCCTAACATTCAGACATATTTCCTCCTTTTGGCTTCATGTACAAACTCTAGTGTCTAATTATTCTCATTGTCATTTATTTGACAAGACAGACCAATACGTGGTCTTGGTCATTATCCATGGATGGCCATTGGCTTCCCTTTATCAGATGCTTTGACCAGTTAAAG